GAGCGCTGTTACCTGGGCAACCTTGAAACACCGGTTGTCCATTCACGTGTGCTCTGCATGACGCACCCTATCTGGCGCGCGGCAGGGAGCAGTCACTGGCACTGCACTGTAAGAAAGCACGAGTACGCTGCGCGGTGCCCCAGGAGCTCCACGCTCGAGGCCTGTCGCGCTCCACACGAGCAGGCGTCCTCGCACCACCATGATGTGCGCATAAGCCGCTCGCATCCACAGCCTGCCTCGCTTGGCACAAACTAGATAATACTCGTGTTGACTAGCGATTGCCAGCCGCGGCGATCTCTGCTCCGCCAAACGACCAGCAACCGCCAACACATCCAAACTGGGCTTCAGCGCACCAGGCCAGTCGTGAGGCCGCTCAGAGAGTCGGCTCGAGCTTGGTGCGGTGGCGAGGCGCACCACTCACTCCTGCTCTTGCCGCTCCTGTTCCCCCTCCTCCTCCTCCTCCTCCTCCACCTCCTTCCTAAAGTGTTCCCTCCTCCAAGCGTGGATTCCATTTAACGAGCTGGTGCTGCTGCTGATGTTTTCGGCAGTGGGCACGCGCTGCCGAGCCTTCTCGCAGGTGGCTGGCCTCTCTCGATCTAGGCGTTCAACCGAAGGAAAAATGTAAGCAAATGGACCCAACAGCAATTAAAGTGTCGGCAGAGTCTACCTCAAGGCCTCTGCAAAAAAGAGGGGCGAGGCAGATGTGACCCGCGGTCGATAATCAGGAAGCCCCGATGCTACTTAGAGGGTAGGCTGGAGCTTGCTGAGGTGGCGAGTCGCAACGCTCACTCCTCATCTTCCCCCTCATCATCTGCTCCAAAGCCTTCGCTTTGGGAACGAACTCGCAGTCACGTGGCTGGTACGGACCCTCTATTCCCGTCCACTGAGACCAGGACACTTTACATAATCAGAAGCATCCATAGCAAACATAAGCATAGAGGTCGAGGCCTGACATGAAGTCCGGCTGAAGAAGAAGGGCGGACCGTCAGTCATACGCCAAGATGTTTTGGCGGCGTTTTGAAGTAAAAGCCCATCTGCTCCAACGGTGCATGGGGGCAAGATCTTAAACGTACGGAAGCACGTCTTATCGAGGAGGGCGCGCCGCTGGCCGGTCCGTCGTCGGAGAACCCTCCCCCCTCCCATTCCCGGTCCGTCGTGGGGACCCCCCCCCCTTTCAAAGGGGGGGGGGTCCGAACCCCCCCCCCCTCTCCCCCTGTAGCCGCCAAATTCGGAACCCCCTCCTCCCCCCCTTTCGCCACGGCGCCCCGTGGCTCCGGAACCCGACCCCTTCCACAACTAACACTAATCCTCACCCTTACCCTAACCCCTAACCCTAACCCGCGCCCCAAGCAGTACTTACTGCTCGTTACGCACTACTCACCACCCACTACTCATTATTCGCCACTCACTACTCACTTCCCACTTCTCGTTGCTCACTACTCACGACTCATTACTCACCACTACTCACTATCCACTACTCACTTATTTACTACTCCATACACAGTAGTCACTACTCACTACTCACTACTCCGTACTCACTACTCACTAAACACTACGCACTACTCACTATTCACAACCCACTATTCACCACCCACTAACCACTATCCATCAGCCACTGCTCATTGTCGACGACCCACTACTTACTGCCCACAACTCACTACTCACTATCCACTACGCGCTACTTACTCAACACAATCATTCACTACCCACTACTCACTATTCACTACCCACTACTCACTACCCGCTAACCACGATCCAAATACGCACTACTCACTACTCACTGCTCACTGCCCAAAACTCACTACTCACTATCCACTATTCGCTACTCTCTACACAGTACTCACTACTCACTCCGCTACTCGCTGCTCCCTACTCGCTAACCAATACGCACCATCCACTACTCCCTGACCACTACTCCGTACGCACTACTCCCTATTTACTAGTCACTACCAACTACTCGCTACTCAATACTCACTAACTACCCACGACTCACCACAAACTATTCACTACCCTCTACTCTCTATTCACTTCTCGGTACCCAGTACTCGCTACCCACTGCTCCCTCTCTCACTACTCACTACTCACTACTCCCTACTCGCTACTCACTACTCACTACTCGCTACTCCCTACTCGCTACTCACTACTCCCTAGGTCGCCACTCGCTACTGACTGCTCCCTCTTCGCTACTCACTGCTCACAATACCCTTCTCGCTACTGACTATTCGCTACTCGCTATTCCCTACTCGCTACTCATTATATTACCCACTACCCACTACCCACTACTCACTACTCACCACCCACTAGTCACTACGCACTACTCACTACTCACGACTCAATAACAACTACTGACAACTCGCTACTCACGTCCCACGACTCACAAGTCACTACTCTCTACTCACTATGCACGATGCACTACCCGCTACTCACAATTCAATAGTCACCACCCACTATTCACCATTCTCTACTCACTACTCACTACTCCCTACCCACTGTTCGCTACTCACTACTCACTATTCGCTACTCAGTAATCGCTATTCACTACTCACTAATCAATACTCACCGCTCAGGATTCTCTACTCACCACTCCCCACCCCGTACTCCTAACGCCCTACTCAGTACTCGCTACTCACTTTTTACTACGCGGTGCTCACTACTCGCTACTTACTACTCCTACTCTCTGCCCTCCATCTTCGGCGCAGACAGGAAAAGCAGCAAGCAGGAAATGCCCTCTCCCCGAACGGTGTGAGGGGGGGGGGTCCGACCCCCCCCCCCTATTCCAGCGCCACGGGGGGGGAGGGCGGGGGGGTTTGGAATCCCCCCCCCCCTCCCCTTCAACGGTGGGGGGGAGGGGGGGGGTTGGACCCCCCCCGTAAAAAGGGGGAGGGGGGGGGTCCAAAAACTACTCACCCCTTTTTGAAAGGGGGGGGTGCGGTTTTGCGGGCACCCATTCTTTTTCAATCACAAGGTCCTCCAATGGCGCGCTTTCTTATCACGAGCACGAATGATATCAACCCGTTTTTACATGTGTACACACAACCATGTGACTACAATGTTTGTAAGTGTGGCTCTCCAGGAGTAGCGTGTTGCAATGCGGACGTGGGAACTACGTGGCGCACGCCGTGTGATGTAAGCTATTTGGACCAACGCACACATATATATATATATATATAACTGGTGCAAGCTATGTCGTGCAACCTCTGCGGTGCAATACATGCGAGACAAGCTATGTAGTGTAAGCTAGGCGGTGCCATATGTGTGGTGCACACTATGTGGTGTACGCTGTGCTGTGCAAAGTGCCTCGGTGGTGTGCGCTATGTTGTCGATGCGAGGCTATACTGTGCAACCTACGTGGTGTAGACCATGTTGTGCCAACTGCGTGGGGCGAGCTGTGTGGTGCAAGCTGTGGTGTGACCGATGTGATGAACCATATGGTAGCATTTATGCCATGCCGGAGACTGTGGTGGAATCTGTGTGGTGCCAGCTGTGTGGTGCAAGCGAGGCGGTCGCCCAGCGCACGATGCGCCCACGAGACTGTTTCCCGTCAGCGGCGAGGCGGCGAACTCCGCTCCAGCGAGAAGCTAGAAAAGGGCACTAACAAGCGAATTGGCCGGCGGGCAGAGAGGGAGCGGGGGAAGGCCGAGAGAAACCGAGGACAGCGCCCACGAGACGGGCACGGGGCGAGACCCGGCGAGCCCACTCCGCGCAGGGTGCCCGCAGGCGGCGCCCGAGGCGCCCACGACGCGCTCCAGGGCGGGCACGGGGCGAGACTTCGGCGGACGCAGCCAGCGGGCGAGGCGCCCCCGCAAGGCTGCGTCCACGGGCGGGCACGGGGCAGCATACACGGGCGACCTGTGCAGCTCCGCCAGGGGCCAAGACACTAACGTGGCCGGGCGTTGGCAGAGCTGGGTTTAGTGGGACCTGGTTTGGTGATGTGTACTGGGGGACGCCCCCTCCCCCCCCGCCCCGTTTCCACGGACGTGGACTGTCGTCACCCGAAAGAACACCAGCCATACGGCGGACCTGGTTTCAGTGATGCTGGCCAATTTAGGGGCTCCGGGGCCCTACTACTAACCGGGCCGCCTTACCTGGGGTCCTGGCTATACCCGACCTGAGTGCAAACACAGTTCAGGGAACCACGCATGCACGGCACGAAATACAATTATGCAAAACCCATCTCTCTGGTGCGTCAGCACCACACGGCACGACCAAGCGTTGGCAGACAGCGACAGTTGCAGAACTGGCCGCTGCGTGACTTCTGGTAGGCAGTGTGAACCCACAGTTGGGACATATGGGATCTCTCTGCTCGTCCTCCTCCCTACTTTCTCCTCCCTTCCCTCCATCGGGAGTGGAGGGACACGACCCAAGGAGCGCTGTTACCTGGGCAACATTCAATACTGGTTGTCCATTGCATGTGTGCTCTGCCTTCCGCAGCCTATATGGCGCGCTGACAGGCCCCGAGCCGCACACATTTGACAATTCAGACATGCGCCTGCCAGGTGGTAGACAGGGAGCAGTCACTGGCACTGCACTGCAGGACAGCACGAGCGGCCAACAAACACAGTGGTTGATTGTACGCTGCGTGTTGCCCCAGGCGCTCCACGCTCGAAGCCTGTCGCATCCACATCCTGCCTCGCTTGGCAAAAACTCAACTGCGCCGAACCCGCCGACACATCCAAACCGGGCTTCAGCGCACCAGGCCAGTCGTGAGGCCGCTCAGAGAGTCAGCTCGAGCTTGGTGCGGTGGCGAGGCGCGCCACTCACTCCTGCTCGTGCCGCTCCTGTTCCTCCTCTTGCTCCTCCTCCTCCTCCCTACAGTACGGCGTCCCCTCCTCCTAGTGTGGACTCGGCAGTGGGCATGCGCTGCAGAGCCTCGGCTTTCGGTGCGAACTCATGCTTGCTAGCCCCTTAGTGGCTGGACAGTCTCGATCAAACCGGTAACCAAAGGATGAAGTGTAAGCAAATGCAGACAACTAGCAATGACAGTGCCCGCAAAGCCTACCTCAAGTCCTCTGCCGAAAAGAGGGGGCGAGACAGATGCAACCCGCGGCCGATAAGGTGGTTCGTCGTCGACAAGGCGGGCCACGCCAGCCTGCCAAACGGCGAAGGACTGGCGCGGCGGCACCGGGGTCCTGTCGGGCAGACGTAAGACGAGACTCGAGATTGGGGAATACGCAAGTGACCAGGCCGACGGAGCAATGGCAAGACCCAATCTGAAACTTGACGCGAACTTCCGCTGCAAACATCGCACGTTGGAAACGGCCAGGGGGTCTGCGCTGGATAGGCCTCCTAAAGATCGGCCAAAAAAGAGAGGGACGAGATCATCAAATCCTATAAAAATCCGTTTCCGAAACTCTACGTGGTCGAAACTGTCAAAGTTGTCGATCCGCGTCCAACTGCTGCGACGAGAGAGCACCACTCCCCCCTGCCCACTGGCCTGAATCAGTGCTGGGCCACCTCAACCCCCAACTGTCTCCCAATCTCACGAAGACCGAACCGTCAAAATCCACGAAAGAGACTAGAAGAAAAAAACGCATAAACATTAACTTTCAGCGCTCCGCGCGGATTTCTTAGACCTGGACTAAAGCCCCCTCCCCGGCGCGCGGAGCGCGCCAGGGGCGGCGCCGGAGGCGCCGCCCAGGGGGGCTCAGCGCGGATCCAAGAAACTCGCGCGGAGTTGATGTTTGTGACGTTTTTCCTTCTTCGACAACTGGCTCCAAATCTCACGAAGTCCGAGCCGTCAAAATCCATGACAGAGACGTCAGAAAGTGGCGGCAGACCCGATCTTTAGGTTGGGAATGTCCTCTTACAGGCAGATTTTGGAAGAAAATAAAAAATACTCAAAACACATTAAAAAACGAGCAATCGTCACCAGACTATGTTGTACCATTCTTGAACACTCTTGCTGTAGTAAGGACATGCCCGACTCAACCCGAGCTCCTGCGAGGTCGAGCCTCACGCTCCCGCGCTGCTGGACGTGGCCTCCTCGCGCGCGCTGGTGCCCGGCGCCGCACGTCGCCGTCGTCGCCGCCGTCGTCTTCGTCGTCGCCGTCGCCGCCGTCGTCGTCGCCGTCGCCGCCGTCGTCGTCGTCGTCGTCGTCGTCGTCGTCGTCGTCGTCGTCGTCGTCGTCGTCGTCGTCGCCGTCGTCGTCGTCGTCGTCGCGTGGATCCTGATTGAGGCCTTGCCCGCCCGCGTCGACGGGCGTGGCCTCGTCACGCGCTCTGGTGGCGGAGGCCTCCGCGAGTGGCCCGTGCGCGCCGAGGGTGGCCTGGCCAGCTGCGGCCCGCCGCTCAGGCCAGAGCATGAGCAGCGCCGGCGCTGGCGCACCCGCTGGAGGCGTGCCGGGGGCGATTCCGCCCAGGCGCACCCTGCCGACCTGGAGGCCGCCAAGCTGCTGGGGGTTCCAGGGGCGCCACATGGTGGCATGCCGCGCGGTGGCACTGGAACTCCCAGGAAACCTCGCACCGCACGGTCCGCTGGCCCACGGTCTTCGGGCCCGGGAAGCCCCCCCGTCGCCCGAGGCGTCCTGGGGCAACGACCCGAGCCCCGAAACCGTGCGGTGACCCCAGATCTCGCCGGCGATCCCAGGGTGAAAGGGGGCGGGCCTTCTCAAGCGGCGGGGCTTCTCAGAAGCCCTCGTGCCTTCTGAGAAGGTTTCTACGCGAGGCGGGAATGTATCCATATCCGTCGACTGGGAACTGACAGTTGATCCTCTGGGCGGTGGTCATGTACAAGTTCACGCCTCGGACTCTAAGCCTCCTCCGAAGACGCGCACGGCTTCTCAGAAGGCGAAAAGGCTTCCGAGAAGCTCCGCCACCTTCTGAGAAGGCCTGCCCCCTCCCAGCTCCCCCCGGGTGCGCCGCCGAGCATCCCCATCGAATCACCGCGGTGACGTCACCACACAGCATGGGGGCCACCGAATAACCTGATTCCCCACATTTCCCCATATTTTCTGGTTTCTCGTCTTCCCCCCACTTTCCATGTTTTCCCATGCTTTCTGGGGAGTCGACGATTCATTGTGTCTGTGCGTGTTCTTTCGGCGGTGGACAAACCTCCCTTTAGTAAAACTCCCCTTCGTGAAAACGGCCTGTGACTGCAGCCGACGCACCTGGACCCGCAGAAATGACGGCCGCAACGCCCTCTCGCGAACCAAACACGGCCAATTCGCTTATCGACGTGTCAGGGTAGGTCTATCCACCTCCGAAATATTGGCTCGGAGATGGGGCCGGAGGATCGCGCCGCATCGCCAGTGCGGCAGCAACGCGGCGTCATCCTCCGAGACCGTCTGGTCGGTGCGACCGGAATGGGCACGGAAAGAATGGGAACAAAGACCACCCACACAAGGATCAGCATTAGGGTTAGGTCGGGCATGTCCCCCTACATGGGGGTTTTGGACGAAGAATAACAAATAGTCAGAAAATGCTCAAAAAGAATCAAACATACGCAAAAAATCGTCCCCAGACTCTGTTTTGACTATTTTCGAATTTTCCTCCTGTAGAGGCACGTGCCCGACGTAGCATTAGGGGGGTCGGCTCAGGGAGGGACGCGTCGACCCGCAGTCGTCACGTCACCGCGGAGAGGGACCCGAATGGCCCACCCCGCCCGCCCAGAGCCGTGCGGATCTGCTATCGGGGGCACCTCGCCGGCACTATCGGCGCTGTATCGCCGACTCCAGGTCGGTGCTTCCCCCGGTGAGCTGGTTCCTCTGTATCTCGGGCCGGGCGAAAGGGGGGGATAGCCAAGGGGGGGGGGGGTGAGAGTCAGCTCACGCAGCTGGTTTTCCCGGCGCCTCCTGGCGCCGGAGGCGGCCATGTATCGAGAGATGGGCCCCTAGGTGGAGCTGAAACCAGCTGCACGCAGCAGGTTTCGTCACCCCAGAGATCCGATGTCGTGAATTTTTCAATACGCGGTCCCCCGAAGTCTCGACCCATTCCCTTGGACCGGTTTTTCATCCGAGTCGTTTTTTGACAGTCCCAGGGCCTGGCGAGGGCCCCTAGAGGCCGACAATTTAGAAAAACATCCGTCTTGATCTCCCCCTTTCATAACCCCCCTTTCCCTATCCCCCCCTTTCGTCTAGCCCGACGATCGTTGCCCCTCGCGGCAAATCCTGCCCCTTTTGAGGCGGGCTCGCCGGCGGTGCCGCGGAGGACGGTGCCCCCACAGAGGGTCGCCCGCCCAACGGCGGCCGCTGGTCCTGCACGGCACTTGCCGTTGGGCACCAGCACTGGGGAAAATCCAACCCCAGGACGTCCACCGATCTCTGGCGTGGGAATGTCACGCTTCCATCGCAAAACAATCGGAGCCCGAGAAACCCAGGGCAACCTGGAAGCAGACAGGGTGCTTCTTGGCACGGGTGCTCTCGCTGTGCACAGCTCGGGCCTGCCGCCCCGCTCCAACCCCACTTTCCCAAGGCTCCCAGAAAGGGCGCGGGCCTTCCCGCAGCGGACGCCCGCAGTTCTGGGACCCCCTCGCCAACACCAGTGCTGCACGCCGAATCGTTTTTGCTGAGCAGGGACCGACCGTCCCGGCATTTTTTATAGGCCTACCACGAAATGTTCGTAGAATCCGAAACTGTTCTAATAACAAAAACAATGTTCTCAGAACATAATCCCGAGGCGCTAAAACAAGACAGTCCCAGCCAGAAATGCTCCCAGAACATTTCGTGGAAACCAAATAAAGGTTCTTAGAACATTGTTTGGTGGGCCTGTAAACGAGCAGGGATGCTTCGCCACTGCTTGAAATCTGGTTGACGGCCCCCGGGCCCGGCAAGGGCCCTCCTTCCGGACAGAGGAGCACAAGTCTAAAAATCCAAACTCTGGAAGGTCCGCGCGGATTCCCTTGCTCGGCGTCGTGCCCCCCCCCCCCTCTTGCTCCTCTTGGGCGTGCGGAGCATACCGGGGGGGCGGCGCCAGCAGCGCCGCCCCCAGGGTGCACGGCGCCGATGCAAGAAAATTCCGTCCAGCGCTCTGGAAAAAATATATGTTTGTGCCTTCTCTGTTTCCCACTTTCCTTCTTAGGTTTCTTCTTTCTTTCTTCGAGCAAGGCCCTCCCGAGGCCGAACATCTGCAAACACCTTCCGCCGCGAGTTCTGCAACCGCGGGGCGGGGTATAGGTTCGGCGGCCTGGAGGAAGGGCGCCAGTCGCGCACGCGCCTCTTGAGCAGCCACCTCGCGGAGCAGGGGGGGGAAGGGGGGAGAGGGGGGGAAAAGGAGGGGGGGAGGGGGGGGGAGGAGGCTGTTTGACATCAGCCGTGGCGCAACCGACATGCACCAATGGATGTGGGCGGGATGCCTAAAATGTGGCAATCTCGGGCAGCGAGTGGAGCATGACAGCCACAGGCTGCGGGTGTCGACAGCTTTCCTCACGCACTGCAGCGGCGGCCGACGCCAAGCATAGGCCGGCGCCCCTGCAGTGGAAAGGACGCGTTGCAATTGAGCCGAGGGCGGCGGCCCGAGCAAGCACCGTGGCCTGCGCTCACTCCAGGGATGACTAAACGGGCCCACAAACACACAAATGAATACACACAAATAAAAATATTCACAATATTTTCCGATATTTTATTGTTTTTTGTCTTCCCCCCCACGTCCCATATTTTCGCATATTTTCCTGGGAGTGGACGATTAATTGTGTCTGTGTTTTTTCCCCTCCTGAATGACAACATACCCCATCGGATCCCGAGCGAGACTCGTCCAGTGGCGCATCACCAGCAGCCACCTCCAGAGGGTGTGCCACGGACGAGACTCTGCGCAGCTGTGCACATCTGGAAATCTCGTCGTCGGGTCTCGCACGGGGCCTGTCGGAGCCTTCGGGGCGCTCATTCCCAAAACCACAAGCTCAGGGTCAGCCCACGTTCCGACTTTCACGGTGCACTTGTCTCTCGTAGGGTGGGCCCGCGGCACAGGCGCTTCCAGGAACGCCTCCTCGTTTGAGCCCACGAAGCAGGCAATGGACGACACTCTTGGCGGAGGCCTCTGACCTGTCCACCCGTGGTTTAGTACACGCACCGGCGGCAGACAACAGCAAAAGACTGGCCACTGGTGTCGAGTTACAGCATGCGGTGCCCCAGCGCAGCTAGGGCAGGCGCGCCCAGGCATCTGATTCCGGCCCACGACGCCCGCAACAAGTGCCCGCGGGGGGGCCTCGAGTCCGAGCGGGACCCACGGAAACACTTCCCACGCTGCCAGGAACTGTCGACCGAAGACCAGGCGTGCCCGGGCGACGCCTCACGGCCGGCGGCGGGCCCGCTGGGGACACGAACTCCCAAGCGTCCAAGCTGTCGGAAGGGAGCCGCTGACCGGCAAAATCACGTCGAGCTGACCTGCTGTTGCTGCGAGGGCCTGGGGTGCCTCATCGCAGCCTGCTGTGGCAGCGTGTCCGCGCTGCCGTTACCTACCCTGAAGTATTTCTCCTGCGCGCTGAGACCGAGCTTGTCGGCCACGCGGGCCGTGACGTTCGTGAGACTGCTCGGCGGTCGATGCTGCAACCCCTGGAAATCTTGAACGGAGCACCGACAAGAGCAGAGCGGGACACGCAAGCCCCGACCCTGGAAAGGGCAAACCCCAACCTTGGCAAGGGCGCCCGTAGCCCGATAAGGGGGCCACATGCGAACCCTACCCCTACCCCCCACGATTTCTGAGGGGGGTGGGGTTCACTTCACTCGGGAGCTCCCGACCCGGGAAACCCCGGCCCGAATGCCGACAACGGTAAGCTCAGGGCAGCTCCGCGGGCCCCGCCGGCGACGGGCCGGGGGCGCGCTGGCCGCGGCGGCCGCCCGGACGGCACGGGGGCGCTGCCTCTCTCTCCGCCCTCCTGTCTGTTCCTCTTCTCCTCCTGCTGCCCCATCCTCCTGCTCCTCCTCCTCCTGCTGCTGCTCCTCCTCCTCCTCCTGCTCCTCTTCCTGCTCCTGCTCCTCCTCCTCCTCCTGCTCCTCCTCCTCTTCCTGCTCCTCCTCCTCCTCCTCCTCCTCCTCCTCCTCCTCCTCCTCCTGCTCCTCCTCTCTGCTCCTCCCGCGTCCTGCGCACATCCTGCCCACTCCGCCTCGCCCCAAGCGTCAACCCGCGCGCGCGCGTGAGTGTTCTGCGCTCGCCCCAAGCATAAAAAGCTGCGTGCGATCTGGGCTGGGGGCTCCCTGGCGCGCTGAGCAGGGGCGGCGCCAGAGGCGCCGCCGGGGGGGCCCCGGCGCGGATCCAAGAAAGCCGCGCGGAGCGCCAACAGCTGATGTTTATGCCGTTTCTTCTTCTTCTCCTTCTTCTTCGGTTCGATAGGGGCCCCAGCATCATGATGCCAAGGTCGAACCACACGTGGTGCATGCCAGGAGGCGGGAGGAGGCGGGAGGAGGAGGAGGAGGAGGAGGAGGAGGAGGAGGAGCAGGAGGAGGAAGAGGAGAAGGAGGAAGAGGAGGAGGAGGAGGAGGAGGAGGAGGAGAAGAGGAAGGAAGGAGGTGGAGGAGGAGAAGGAAGGAAGGAGGGGGAGAGGAGGAGGAGGAGGAGGAGGAGGAGGAGGAGGAGGAGGAGGAGGAGGAGGAGGAGGAGGATGGAGGAGGAGGAGGAGGTGGAGCAGGAGGAGGAGGAGGAGTTGGAGGAGGAGGAGGAGGTGGAGGAGGAAGAGGGAGAGGGAGAGGAGGAGGAGGAGGAGGAGGAGGGAGGAGGCAGAGGAAGAAAGAAGGAGGAGGAGGAGGTGGAGGAGGAGGAGGGCGGAGGAGGAAGGCGCGCCACCGCCGAGAGTCCAGGCACGCGGCGCATGCGACGCAGCGGCTCCGCCGGCGGCGCCGCCCACGCGTCGGCGGCGTGGTGGGAGGGCGGCGCGCGCGGCACGCTTCCGGCGAGCGGCAGGAGCGCCATGGGCTGCGCCACGGGCGGCTGCTGCGAGAGCCTCGAAGACGAAACAAATATCTCAGAGAGCGGCAGCGAGCGAGGGGGGGAAGTGGAAAGGAGGGGGCCTTGTCGGAAGGCGGCGGGACTTCTCAGAAGCCCTCGCGCCTTCTGAGAGGCTTTCTCTGTCTTCGGGGAAAGCTTGGAAAACTTCGCAGAAGGCCGGGAACTTCCGAGCCTTCTGAGAAGGCCCGCCCCTTCTCACTTCGCCCGCTCGCTCGCCGCTGAAGATAGTTCATAGCAATTCGTGGGAGCCTCCCACACCATCGTGTCGGCTCGAGCGAGATCGACGCGCATCGACGCTAGTCGACGCCAGTCGACGCTACATCGACGCTGACCGACTCTAAATCGCCGTAATCTCATCGACTCTCAGACATCCATCGACGCTAGTCGATGCTAAAGACGGAATGAAGAGGGCACGCCAGGCTCCCATGATTTGCTACCGAAGGATAGGAACTTCGAATACCGGCACTAACGCCACCAGGGACCACCTGCAGGAAGAGCCAGGGAGGGGTTCCCCTGGTTCGTGGCCCCCTAGCTCGCTCGCGACACCCCTCATCCCCAGCTCGGGGAGGCATCGTGTACCTCCTCGCTGGAGGCGGCCCCCTGGTGGTGTTGTTGTCGTTCCTCCTTCCCCCCATTCGGAAATCTAAATTGTAGAAACGAAAAATGCTGAAGTATTTTATTTATCATCTGGCCATCGCTCGGATTTCCGTGTCCTGTGCGCTCTTCGATGTCGCGCGTGCACTTTTTTCTGCAAGGTGAACCTCTTCCTATTCGGTGTTTCGACATTGGGCAGAAGAGGGGGGAGGGGGGGCGGTCTGGCTCCAGACCTCTGCTTAATGCGACTGTGTGAAGCAGTGCGTGCTGTGGGGGAGCCTCCACATGCATGAAAACTGGTGCCAGAAACACCCAAGATCTACTCCACGGGGGGTGGAATGGGGGGTGCCAGGGCCCACGCCTATCGGCAAAACATTGAATAAGAGAACGATCACAAGGTGATCGGAGATGCTCTTCTATGGTGCTCGCCGAGAAGAATGCACACGTCCGAGCGATGCCAAGTGATTGACATTCTGCTCTTAGCTGCATAAGCCGAAACTTTCGGAGCTCAGTGCGGACTTCTTGGGTCGGCGCCTGGCCTTCGAACACTTCACGAGCATATAGAGGCTTCCTAGATGGGGTCGGAGTAGATGGGGTCGGAGGGTCGCGCCGCATCGGCAATACATCGGCGATGCATCGGGGATGCATCGGCGATGCATTGGCGATGCACTGGCGACGTCGGCGACGCATCGGCGCCGTCAGCATGAAGAACATTGGGCTCCACATCGAGCTGCATCGCCGATGCATCGCCGATGCGGCGCGATCCTCCGGCCCCATCTACTCGGACCCCATCCATGAGGCCTAGAGCATACGCTCAGTGCTTGAAAGATGGCTTGCAACACCAGTGACCGCAGAGTACGCCATCCCTGTGAGGTGATCCCCCTGCGAGGGCCCCTTCCACAGAGCAGAACATCCACCCTCATAACCATCACCCCGACACGCGAAGCCGCTCAGCAAACGCACCCAAGGCAGGAATCGAACCGGGCAGGGCTGTTTCGTGAACGCCCGAGGCCGTTCAGTAAACGCCAGTTATCGGGTCTGGGTGTTTTTTCCCAACCATCCTGTGGTGTTGGGTCCTTGTTTTGAAGAGACAGCGCCCCGCGTCCCTCACTCACTCCTTCTCCCCCTCTTCCTCTCCACGGACGCATGCGTCCCGCACACCCATTTCGGCACACCCCTCACACGTTTCGTGGCCCCATAGGGAGCGCCACCGAAGAAGATATTCACAATTGCGGTACTCACAATTGCAGATGGTTGGGCCCTTCGCCAGGATAATTCCTCCCTTGATTCTGTGCGCGCTGCCCCCCTGCCAGGGCCACCTCGGTGCACGCTAATCCCGAAGGCAGAGCATTGCGCGTGGTCCGTGGGCCGGCGGCGCCACACAGCACGCCTCCCTCCCAACGCCAGCCATAGGCTTTGGAAGCTCAGTGCCATCGGACAAAAACGTAATTTTGAATATTACATTTTAGTTGTGCCCCCCGCCTGGCTGTTAGCGTTTTGGGGTGGGCCCCCCTTGCTGTAGACGGCCCCCTCACTAATCAATGCGGATTTCTTGGGTCCGCGCCGATGCGAGAGTTCCGCGCGGACCTCCGACGATGCATGCCTGTGTCGCTTTTCCTGATGGGCCGACTCTCCACCACCACTACCATAGGCAGGAGAGGGGGGAGGAGAAAGACGAGGAACTGGGGGAGAAGAAGGAGACGGAGGACTCCTCCATCCTCCGGTCTCCCTCATCCTACCTATTGTAGTGGTGGTGGAAAGCTGGTCCATCATTTCCTCCTCTGGAGCCCCAGCTGCAGCTCCCGAGTGCTGGTCCGGCCCCCCATGGCGTTGCGGGAGCAAGGGGAGGGAGCTCCGCGTGCCGGAGAGGCTTGAGAACAAACAGCCGGGCTTGGCTGGCAGGCTTGAGCCTACGTGGACTGCGGGGCACGCGGGCAGGGCGCCGCAGAGCCATGCTCGCGCTCCGCGCTGCGCGAAACAGCTTTGCGCTCTCGCGCCGTCCTTGGGGAGAACAGAACAAGAAAAAACGCCGCAAGCATAAACTTTTGGCGCTCCGCGCGGATTTCTTTACCTGCGCTGGACCCCCCAGGGGCGGTGCCGCCGGGGGGCCCAGCCCGGATCCAGGAAGTCCGCGCGGAGCGCCAAACATTTGTGTTTATGGCGTCGTCTTCTTCTTCTCCGAGAGAGGAGAAGGAAGAGGAGGATGAGGATGAGGATGAGGAGTCGCGAACATCTTCACGCCCTCGTGGCGGCCCTTGCATCTGCGCCTGCCCCGGCAAGATGCTCCTGTGCCGCGCCAGGAGGCGGCTCGGCGGTGCAGGAGGGGCGGGAGAGGAAGGGGGCCCAGAGGTACCCTGCGATCTCCGCCTCGACCAGCTGTCCTGCCTCCTCCCCCACCCACCCCCCCACAAAAAAACACACCTCCCTCCTCCCCTCCTGGTCGTCGCCGCGCTCTTCCTCCTGCTCCATCTCTCCCCAGATCCCCACTCCTCCACAACTGCACCAAAGGAATACGACGCTCCTTTCTGGCCCTTCAAGACGGCCCGAGCATCGCGCGCCCCATCCGCGTAGTTTTCATTTTTGGAGTTTTCCAATCCGAGCGTTCTGCCCTTCTCCAAAGTTGCGGCCCGCTGCAGCCTGGGCCTCGTTTTTAGGATCAGGGATCCCACCATTCAGACCGACACTGTCGCCCCAGCGCGGGCAGCTCCCCTGGACTGAATGCTCCCTCATCGTTGTGGCCCCGCCTTCTTTTCCCTCCTCCACCTTCCCCTGGTCCATCTGCTCCTCCCGCTCCTTCCACTCCAATCCCTGCTGCTGTCGTTAGTCCTCGTCCTCCTCCTTCCTCATCCTCCTCCTCCTGCTCATCCGTCGCCTCTTCCTCCTCCTCCTTCTCCTCTTCCTCCTCTGTGCGCAACTCCCCTTTCTCCGATTGCGCCTCGGACTGCTGTTGACTGCCCTCGTCCCTCTCGTCCTTCTGCCCCCTCCCCCCCCCCCCTCGTACCTCCTCTAATCTAAAATCGAAGCTGGCCTTGTACTGGGAATTACTCTGGCCAGAATTCGGAAGCAATTCCAACCGTCGCCCCGAAGGCGCTCCAGGAGGCCCAAATGCCAAAACACCGGAACACTCGATCCTCGAACATCGATCATCAACCAAATGTCGGCGAGACGTGAGACAAGAATTTGGGGGATTCAATCGACCTGTTTAGTGTGTGGATTGACAACCATGCGCGAAACGGAAAGGAACCAACAATATCAGGAAGGGTCTGCGACGGATCCCCAACAGACAGACACCATCAGTCCTTTGAGCCTCCGTATATACGCTTGGCGCTCCTCACCTTCTGGACTCATGGGCTCCAAGGGTCTCCGGGCGGGTCCAGCTGGTCTCCAGAACGGCCCAACTCGTGGCACGAAGGACAAGGGTCCTGAGTGCACGGTTTCCCCCGGGGCCGTAGGCGACCCGAGGAGGATGAGGAGGAGAAGGAGGAGGGGGAGGGGGAGGAGATGGAGGAGGAGGAGGAGGAGGAGGAGGAGGAGGAGGAGGAGGAGGAGGAGGAGGAGGAGGAGGGGGAGGATGAGGAGAAGCAGGAGGAGGAGAAAAAGCAGGAGGAGGAGGAAGAGCAGGAGGAGGAGGAGGAGGAGGACGGGTCGCCTAAGCCCTTCGGAGAAACCCTCCAGGCCCTGGGTCCTGGGCCTCTCCCCCAAATCCCTCATCCTGGATGGTGTTTGGCGGCTGAAGACGGCGCCGAACCTGAGGACCCCCTCTTGGAAGCTGGGCGAGGGCTGGCATATCCGTGGCTGCTAAAGCGGTCTTCTGATAAAAAACAAAGAACAAAAAACAAAGGCCCAGAATCAAACTCAGCGCGCTAGAGCGCGTTTCTTTATGTTCGGCGATGACGGGCGTAATGGGGGGGGGAGGGCGGGGGGGCGTATGACGTGACGCCCCCCCCCGCCTTGTGGTTCCGGCACCACAGCCGCGCCCGCGCGCACGACGCGACGAGCGACGAACGACGAGCGACGACGACGACGACGCGAGCAGCATGTAAGTGGCGATCTGCCCATTGCGCCTGTGTACACCACAACGCTCGCGTCCACCACGCCGCGCGTGTGCACCACAGCGCCTGCGCACACCGCAAACAGCCGTGTGCAACGCACCGCCCGTGTATACCACAATACTTGGGAGCAGTACAGCGCTGGTGTACATACACCGCAGCAGCCATGTGCAACACAACGCCTGTGTACACCACTGTGATTGCGTGCGCCACAGCGCCTGTGCACGCCACAGCGCCTGTCTACACCACAGCATCCGCGTGCAACGCAGCGCTGTACACCACAGTGCCTGCGTGCATAGGACAGGTAGAAGGAGCATGTACGTCAGGATCTGCTGCGGACAACTAAACGCCACGCCAGGAATGTTCTGATAATCGAATGCGACGTTTTTCCCCCCCTCCCTCCTCCTCCACCTCCACCTCCACCTCCACCTCCTCCTCCTCCTCCTCCTCCTCCTCCTCCTCCTCCTCCTCTTCCTCCTTCTTACCCCCTGTCGTGCGGTTTGGCGTTGCAACGCACGTGCGCATCTCAGCGTGCACCGCAGAATGGTCGATTGAATCGGTCCAAGTGGTTCTCGGACGGCCAGTTTAGTTGGAGCCTCCTCGACGCAAATGGGAGTTTGGGTGATGCAGGCGGACTCGGGGGGACTCGTAGATTCCAGCGACGCTCCCTCGTCCATGAGGATTTGTTTTCCCTTGTTTTCTCTGGATTCCACACGCGTTCCATGTTGTCACAAGGATCCTTTCTGAAGTTCTATACACAACAATGGTGCTGTGTTGCACACGGCTGATGTGGTGCACACAGGCGCCGTGGCGTACACAGGCACTGCAATGCACGCAGGCATTGTGGTGTACACTGGTGCTGTGTTGCGCACGGCTGATGTGGTGTACGGAGGCGCTGTGGTGTACACAGGAGCTGCTGTGCCCGCAGGCGCGGTGGCACAAACTGACGCTGTGTTGCACGCGGTTGCTGTGGTGTACATCGGCGGTGTGGTGTACACAGGCGCTGTGGTGCACGCGGGCACTGTGATGTACACAGGCGTTGTGGCGCAGATCGCCACCTACATGTTCGTGCCTAAGCATTCCCAAAAGCCGCCGGCGCGAAACGTGACGTCATCGACCCCCTCCCCCCAGATGATTGCCGTCATCGGCCCGGACTTAAAAACAGGCTCCAGCAGCGTCCGCGCGCACGACGACGATGAGCGACGAGCGACGAACCACGAGCGACGAGGACGGACGACGACGACGACGACGACGCCTGCAGACCAGACACCTATGCAGATTCCTACGCGGACACCTACGCGGATCCCAATGCGCACGGCGGCAGTGCCCGGAGCGCACTGGGGGGGGGAGCGTTACGTCATAGGGGGGGGGGGAGCGGGGGCCATGACGCCCGTCATGCCCCAAACAATAAAAAAACGGGCTCCTAAATAGTAAAAGGGCTGCTTCCCGGAAGGAAAAACGGTTTCCCGGAGCTCCGTTTCAGCAGCCACGGGTTGCCAGCCTTCGCATGCCTTCTGACCCTTCCCTCAAGACCCTCTCGTTGAAGGCTCATAGACTTCGGCCGTCCGCCGACTCGCGCGGGAGCGGCAACCCCTGTGCGCCAACTCTCCAGCACCTGGAGTCACCTGGGTCATCAGCAGTTGCCCTGAGTTGTCGGGCCTGATCCCCACAGGTCGATGCGCGAACAGCCGGCAAGCCCTCGGGGGCCCTCCCTCGTAGCGTAAGACCGCCCCAAGACGACCCCGAAGAGACTCCTCCCCCCCCTCGAAACGGCCCCCGAGACCCTCCAAAACACGAGCGGGGGCAAGTGGGCGCAAGACCAGCGGGGCCACGCGTCAGGGAGGAGGGACACCAGCTGCAACGAGAAGCGCCGGTCCTTCCCGCCTCGCCCTCCTCCTCCTCCTTCTCCTCCTCCTCCTCCTCCTCCTCTTCGTCCTCCTCCTTTCACGCCACCTCTTACTCGGGGGGCAAAAATTATCTAATGTCACTCTGGTCTGGCGACCTCATCGGCGACTTACTGTTTGAAGGCGGCCGAAATCTTGCACAAAAACAGCCGGCGGCTGAACAGTACGCACAATTCAAAAAACGACCCGCGTGTCATTTGATACCCTTCATACCTCCCGACAACCCCTCCTGGAGGCCCTCCGAATGGGGGCCAGATTAGATGGAGTCAGACAAATGTGCACCGCGTCGTCGATACATCGGCGATGTCAGGTTAGAGAAAATCAGGCTCTGGGTCGCGCCTGGTGGCCGATGCATCGGCGATGCGACGCGACCCTCCGACCCCGTCTGCTCTGGTTTCTCCGGCCCCGTTCGGGCGGCCTGGATCCTCCTCTTACCTCCCCTCCATCTCTACCTCCCTCCTCCCAGGAAATCTTCGAGATAGCTCTCTGGGGGTCTCCGATGGGGATCCTCGCGAGGGCCTTCGGATGCCAGAAGAGTGCTACGGGCGTCAAGAAGCTTTGATCCCCGATCCCCCCTTCTCGTTCTCCTCGTTGCGCGTGTGCATTACAACTTGGTGCGGCGTCGGAACCTGCTTGCCTCATAGCCACGGGAAATCAAGTCGGACCTAGGACGTAATAATATCTTTCAGGACCATGAGACACTTCGCCGGCCACACTGAAGAGCATTTGAGGGTACCCTCCCCCAAGATGCACAAGAACATCCAACAAGCACGAAAAACACTAGGGTACACTCCCCGAGCTGACCTAGATCTTACACCTCGGCCCGACTGTCAACGAGAAGCCCTTTACGATCTGCCAACAACAATGCCCCCA